GTAATTTATCATTTAATTCATTTCACTCAAAGATGGTTAAATTTCTCGTTAATTACGTCATTTAACTTCAATTATTTGATATGGACAAATAAATATAAATATAAAAGTAATCTATTCATTTCTATAATAATTCTCTATTTTCTCTACCAAATTACGCTCAAGAGTGAGCGTTTGAACATACGACCATTTTTCCTGGCTGAACATCCAGAATCTCTCTTCTCAACTCTCATTTCAACAACATCAACTCCCTCATCCTCGGTGCTATCCTCGTATGCAGCTGAAAGTTTTTCTTTCATTTGACCAGGACCGCCGAAAATATTGGTTTCAAGTTGCTCATCCATTGGATAAGCTTCGATATAGGTCAAGTAAATGTTTGCAATTTTAGTCCAACATTCACCGCAATTCAAATCCTTTAGAAATTCTTTGGTGGATTCATCGGGTAGGAATAAGGTCTTCCAATCAAGAGATATGGCAACGTTTATATCCCCATTACTTTCTTTCTTGGCGAATTCAACCACATTATTGAACAATTCGATAAAGCAAGATTCTTATAAAAAAAAAAAAGGTTCCAAAATATCGTTAGCGCTCGTAATCATTTTAACGTTATACATATATAAATTTGTTTAAAGTATTTCTACGTATCTCCTTTATCGTTCTTGAGACAAGCGGCTTCATGAGCAGGAATACCATCATAATAAGCGAGAAATGTACCGTAAGCCATCAACGAATTGACATCAAACGTTCTGGGATCAGCGCTTAAATCCAAAGGAGCCGACAATTCAGTGGAACAATCTGTCTTGAGCTTTTTCAAGGTTTGTTCAACTTCTGATGGATCACATGTATACTCTAGTACGCAATACTTATCCACTGCTGACTTAAAAGGTTCGAGATCGTAGGTGGAAATATTATACGTGGACACTTCATAACCAGCTTTTCCGTACTCTTCAAAGATAACATTGCCGAAATGAATATTTGTTGGACATTGAGATGATGGGGTGACACTAGTGAAAACAGATAAGGCGCTATCATCATGTACGTTTTTTGGCAAACGCTACACTCGGTCGCTTGAAAGGTTTCTTCACAAGTTTTCTGAGCGAGAGTTACAAAAGGAATTACGGCCGCTAATAACCAAAGAATCAAGGTAATTTTTTTATACATCGTTGAAAAATAAAGATTTCTTAATAAAAAAAATAAAGAAATTTATTATTTAAATTCAATTTTTTGTGAAGAATTCTCAGAATTTTTCGCACCGTTAAATACTTAACTTTTTTTTTCGAAAAGTTTGGATTCCCCGTTTCGTAAACATAGCCTACCCAATGCGAAAATACTTACCTTTAAAGGAACCTTACAAACTAATTTCAAGCCCATCATCATTATAAGCCGCCGATCACATAGCCCTTCAATGTGTTCAATCCTAATTGTAAAAAGTGTTAATTAAATTAGTAAATAAAAAAGGAATTCAATGATTTTTACGCAAGCTATATACGACAATTGTTTGACAAAAAGAAAGTGTTTGAAGAGATGTTACCCTCCTTAGGTAATTATTTTATTTTTTAAAGTATTAAATTTTATTGTATAATATAAAAACAAGAAAAATCAATAGATAATTTATTTTATAATAACAAAATTGACTTTTATTTATTTTGATAGATTTAGTTACAATTAGTTAAAGTACTAAATAATCAGAATAAATTCAATGGATTATCTGCTGGGTAAAATTGCATGACCACAAATTCAAACTCAGGTGGTTCTTAAATGATTTTCAATATCTATCATTTGTAACATGATCCTTGTTAAAAATTCCATTAATATCATCATTACCTCATTAATTCATCGTCTCCTACATTATCTGGGAAAGGAGACGAACACGATTAGAAACGTCTTATATAAAGAAACTGGGAATAGGAGGGTCACCCTTCAAACACAGCTATGCCACTACATCACCAACGAGACCCCTCTCGTGATTTTAAATGAAAACAATTTCATTTATGGGATACGATGTAGTCCTATCGTGCTTTGACGGCCTGGATGGTATCCTTTCTCTTAACAATATTCGGACCACCCTGCTGCTAAAATGACAAGATGACGATAACTAAGTAAGTATACTCACATGATAATACCGGTATGCCTTCCTTGGATGTGCTAGCTTTTCTCCAGTATCATACCCTAACACCAATGTTACTTGCATCTACTATGATGAGAACGTTGTGTAAAGTTAAAATCTCCAAAAATATGAACCTAAATGATATTTAAAAATAATAGAATCTAAAATAACGTTAGCAAAGATCTTCCGTCCAGTCATTTCCCAAAAGCACCCTGAAAAGAGTTTTATGTTTGGTGTCGACTGCAACACTTCTCGGCAGTATGTCTGTTACATACTCACACAAAGAACTAATCTAGGGGCTTGCCAACAATATATGTAAAACATACCTCTTCAACAGAGATGTTGGGTGTAAGTTAAAACTGTATATATATACTCCTTTGTTCTACTTCGATATTACAGTAATCTTTTCATTTTCAATTTTTTTTTTTGTTAAAAATTTTCAAAGAAGGAAAGAAAGCGAAAACATTACTGCTGGTTGCTTGATGTTAAAAAAAAAGAAAGGGGTTTGCAAAATATATAAATTATATAAAATAAAGGTTAATATATAGGTTTCTTACGCATTACGTCATGTAATAAAAAATATGTCAAATGATGCGCGCTGATTAATACAAGTTCGACTGTGATACTGCAGAGTATGGACGTTCTTTTATTTTATCTATTTTTGAAATAAAACATGTGATCGATCACCTATTATCGTTCCTGAAAACTATATATAATTTTAATTAGAGTTTGCAGTTTGCGGGGGACTTCATCCCCCATTTAGCATTAAATAATTGATCACGTAGCCAATTCAATTAAACTTTAAAATTTCATTTATGATAAATAAAAATATAAAACCAAATTTTCGAAAACATTTAATTATATTGATATAAAAGAAGTTTAATTTTTATTAATTAAATTAATTTTTCTAATTTAATTTTTCTTTGCAGTTAATTTTTTTTTTTTAATTATTTTTATTAATTTTTATTTTAATTTGTATTTTATTTTAATAATTGATTCTTTTGATTTTTAGATTACATTTTTTTTTTTTCTAATTTTTTTAATACATGCAATTTATTAATAGATTTTTTAAATAGCAAATTAAAAAATATTCTTCTAATTCTTTATCTTTGTTTGCTTTGTTAATTGTTGCTGCCAGAACTCAGAAATTGAATATTATATAACACAAAATTTTTGTGAACTATATGAAATCTTCATGTGACTAGCAAATTTTCAGCATAAAGTCAGAGAGTTACTACATATCATTACATGATACTTATCGAAAAAAGAAAAATATCATAAACTTTCATATTTAAGGTATTATGCATGAAATTGTTTACTCAACTTGATAAAGGAAATTCGTATCGAGAATTTGTCTTATTAGAGCTGATCTTTATTTGTTACTATATAAAGCAATTATAATTAGATGATGTGATCCTATAAATATTATTAAAATCTCTATTCTGGTCTATCAATTCGACTTTCAGAAACATAATCAATTAGATCAGGCATAATAATAATGTTTAAATTCAGTAATCCAAGTGCAGCAATTGAATCATTCATAATTTACCTAATAAGAAATATATGCAGATTAATCATTGGCTATATGAAATGTTGATATTAATACTAATAAGCTCAAAATAAACAAAATAGACAATGACAAAAATGTCATTATGGTCAATTCTGAAGAGTTATACAAGATGAAAGAGTTTTTAAGGTCATCTTTAAGAACGTAAAAACTTTGAGGTCAATTTCAAAGATTCCAAAGAGTTACTAGAATTATCAGATGATAAATTATTAATTTATTTTTGTGATGGTCATCCATATATCTGAGATTTGGAAACTTCTGAAAATATGCTAATAAATTCTCAGCTAGCTGTTAAAGATCAATATTTACAGTTTCTTCCAAATGGATCTTTTAATAGAAATTGCATAAAATTTATAATATTTATTATAGAAAAAAAGTTGTTTAAGCTTAATTAATAGCTTATCTTATTACCATTACCCTCAATTACTTGTTCTGACATACTGACATACTACTAATTAAATTAATAAATATTTCGGGTTCATTTACCTCCTACTCTTTTTGATTATATCAAGAAAATATCTATAGTGATTGAATTTTTTACCAAACAATATATTAACCTGTTTCTCTACACGCCTCTTAAAATTGCCTATAAATTTTCAATTGGATTGAGGTCCGGATTTTTTGATGGCCGTTCGGACACCATTCTTCAGTATTAGATTTATAGTTTTCATATGAACGGTATATAAGTTTATATTTACAATTCCAACCTGCCAATCTTATATAAAAATATAAGCTGCGTGACCATATAAAATTTTGTTGCTGATCATATATTGCAATACTGCGCGAATTATTAAAAGTTTTCTATACTGAATTGTTATTATTCCGAAAACTTTTTTCGCGTACTGTATATAAAAAGGATGCATTCAATTTTTTCTTTCAAAAATTCACATTGAGATAATGAAAAAGCATGCAAAAAAAATTCCCAAATCATTTTCCTTTAAAAAGAATTTTTTTCTTTAAATAACAACAAAGCAACCACCACACTGAGATGCCATGTCTGAGCTCGATCTTAGGTCAGGAACTTGAAAGGACAAGTCTACGGGATACGGGCAAAGGATAGATATTTTAATTATATTTGTTTAACTATATATATGTCTACGGGATTAAGATGCTAATGGTCACGATCATGACCGATTTTGACCGACCGGTTCGGTTGACCAAGTGATTTTTAGACTAAACAACCATGTTTTAATTAGTAAAAGAATTATTTGTATAAATTAACAATGTATTTTTTATTTAATTATATTAATATATTAAATTTTTGTAATTTTAAAAAAAGAAATAATGTCGCAGATAATGTCGCGCCACTATATTTAAAAAATATGTAAAATCAAATCGCAAAAAAAAAAATATTTTATATTAAGAAGCTTTATAAATTGCCATGCTATAATAGTTAAAATCATAATATTTAGGCTAAATAAAAGCTTTGACCCGTCGGTCAATCAATTAGTTAAATCGGTCGGTTAAACAATTGTGACGCCATCGTGAACATTTTATTAAAAGAGATTGATTCATTAAAAATAATCCTAGAATCATAATGAACAATAACACGTTATTTTGTTAAAATCGTAATAAAATTTTCACAATACATCACATCAAATGTTCGAAAAGGGTGTTATATTTGTACCTATTTAAACACTTACATCTTTTACGGTTCTTAAACTTTGCAAAATAAACTCTAAACTCTTCATTTTTATTATAAACGGACATTACTCTTCGTTATCCGTGTGTATGTATTTTGTTTATGATTTGTAATGAATCGTCTTTTATAATGATTTTTTTGTCTATCAACAGTGATGCAATCGTTGGAAGCAAATAACTTTTGATAATAGCATTCGGATCAAATATAAGTAAAAGTGTGCTAAAAAATTAAAGTGTGAAAAGAACCGTTCTCATATTTTTTTTCCTTAACTATTTATTTGCAAAATAATTATTTGCGGGAAAAGATATGCCTGGATTTTGAATTACCAAATATAAGTGTATACTTACAAGCAAATTGCGATAAATCGAAATAAGATTAAATAATGATTTCGTTTGAATACTATTTTTCTTTCTCGAATGTTTAATTATAAAATAATATGTTGCGCAACGGAAAGGTCCGAAAATTTGAAATTGTAAATCTCAGGCACCATCAGTATTATTTATACAAATATAATTAATCGTTATTATCAATTTAATTATGAATATAGTATTTACCGGTTCTATTTTATTTTTTGATTTGCTTGGTTTAATTTCTTCCTTTTCTTTGGAATCTTAAGTGACAATAATAAATCACCAGTTATATTCAGATCATGATTTTTTTCAGGTGATTCGTTCAAGTTATAATTGAATTGAAACTTTCCGGAAGATCAGAAGGCGCTGCATCATTTTCAATTCATTGAATTACTATTTAATTCAGCTTATATAAAGACTAGGAAACGGGAACCGTTGTTGAGTCCGGAGCGATCTTGACACTTTCCAAAATCGGAGATTTTATCGGTTTAAGAT